AGGAACAAAACCCTGAGTGGAGTTTGGGAAACCTGGAAGGAAGCTATCCTCACCCAAGAAGAGTAGGTGTCCATAGTTCCCTAACATCACGTCCCTGTATGTCAGCAGTCCCAGAAATAAGGAACACATTGACCAAGTGGTGATGGGTAGGGTTAAAATTTGCTGAAGATGAAAGTAGGAGGGGCGCCTGACCTTATTAAAAATGTCAACTCTGGTGCTTGCTTTGGCAGCACATATACTAAAAAATGTCAATTTGGAAAAAAAACATCAATTCTGATTCAGGATTCTGGAATGGGATCTGAGTCTGCTTTTCTAACAAGCCATTAATAAGAATCTCCTCCTGGGGCACGTGGGTAGCTCAGTCATCGAGCCCGGCAGGAAGCTGCTTATCCTTCTCCTACTCCCCACGCTTGTGTTCTGATGTCTCTCTGTCAAATAAATAAAGTCTCATAAATAAATGTCTCTTTGTCAAAAAAATAAATCAAATATATATATTTTTAAAGATTTTATTTATTTGACAGAGAGAGACACAGCAAGAGAGGGAACACAAGCAGGGGGTGTGGGAGAGGGAGAAGCAGGCTTCCTGAAGAGGAGCAAGCCCCATGCGGGGCTGGATCCCAGGACTCTGGATTGTGACCAGAGCCAAAGGCAGATGCTTAATGACTGAGCCACCCAGGCGCCCCAATAAATAAAATCTTAAAAAAAAAAAAAAAGTCAGATCAACGTTATGAAATCAATAAAGCCCCTTGAAATCATCTGCCTGGTACCTTGCTGTCAGTGTTTGCAAGAGCCTTAGTACCAGGTGAGTCAATTAAGTTCGATTTCTGGCAGGCTTAAGAACCTGGAGCTATTCTGGGGACTCAAGAAGACATAACCCACATCTATAGATGTTGCAGGTGAATGTGATGGTGGGAATTTGGTCTGGCTTCTTAAACTTACAAGGCTCTAAAAATTCATTCTGAGGGCCACCTGGCTGGCTCAATTGGAAGAGCATCTGATTCTCAATCTTGGGGTCATGGGTTTGAGCCCCACATTGGGTTACACCCCCCCAAAATTACCAAAAGATTACCCCCCAAAAATCCAAAACAAAGCAAAAAGAACACTTTAAAAAAAAATACAAATTCAATCTGAAATTCCTTAGAAAGGGTTCCAGCAAAGCAGATTTCAATGAAACTTTAAAGTCAGTCACTATTCATGCCGCACTTACATAATTAGGCCAGGCTTGTTAAACCTGGGCTATTTTATAAACAAATAGTCTCGATTCAGTATGTTTGTTTAAAAGGAGGTTAACTCTAGGGGCGCCTGGGTGGCTCAGTGGGTTAAGCCGCTGCTTTCAGCTCCGGTCATGATCTCAGGGTCCTGGGATTGAGTCCCACAGAGGGGCTCTCTGCCCCGCAGGGAGCCTGTTTCCTCCTCTCTCTCTGCTTGCCTCTCTGTCCACTGTGATCTCTCTGTGTCAAATAAATAAAATCTTTTTTTAAAAAAAGGAGGTTAATTTTAGAGAGAAAAATTATATTTTCATAGCATACTTTTATGGATCTCAGATTCCAGTTATGATGAACTATTTTTAAATGTTTGCCTATAAAACTGGATGGATCCTGAATTCTTCTGGTTTCCTCTGGTATCTGCCTTTGACCTGCCGTCACTGAGAACCGAAACTTCCCTTTGTTCCTGCAAACTGAAGCTAGATGACTCCAGGTCAACTTCAGAGAAACTGCCAAATGGCTCGGGTTCACACAGTCTTCTTGCCCCTCGCTCTTCAGACCACTCAGAAGGCTCATGGAGATATTCTGGCAGCCGACCAGGAACATCTCAGGTTGCCACTGCCTGCCCTCCATCTGAAGATGCTTGAAGCGCAACATCTCCATCTTCCGCTGGCAGCATTCAGGATTCCGACACTGAGTTTATCATTCTCTCAACCATTACCTGTGCTTTTTTCATGCAATTTCTTGATACACTCAGAAATCCAAGTGAGAAAAGCTGTCTTACAAAATAAGATGACTTGGAGCACCCGGGTGGATCAGTTGGTTAGGCATCTGCCTTTGGCTCAGGTCATGATCCCAGGGATGGAGTCCCGCATTGGCTCCTGCTCAGTGGGAAGCCTGCTGCTCCCCAGGCTTGTGTGCTTAGTCTCTCTGACAAATAAATAAAATCCTAAATTTTTTTTTTAATTTAAAAGAAATTAGAAAAGAACTCAAAGAAAGACCTGAATGAATATTTGCATATTTATGCCCATTTCAGCTTTACACACAAGAGCCCAAAATAGGTACAATCAACTCAAATGCCTATGCATAGTTAAAGGGATAAAGAAAACATATAGCATATACATATCATGAAACATTTCTGAGCCTTGAGAAGGATACAGACATTATGACGTGATACAACTTGGATAAACCCTGAGGACATTGTGTCAAGTGAAAGAAATGAGTCACAAAGAGACAGATTCTGTAGGAATCCACTTACGTGAGTCATCTAAGGTGATGAAACTCATAAAAAATTAAAATGGTGCCTGCCGGGGACTTACGGTAGAGGGAAAGGAGGAAGTGGGTTTTTTTTTTTTAACAGGTATTAAGTTTTACTCCTGTGAGAAGAGAAAGTAACAGAACTTGTTTGCACAGTAATGTGAAAGGTTAAGTAACTACTGTTTGCACAATAATTCAAAATGTTCAGTCCACAATACTTTGATGGTAAATTTTATGCCATTTTAAAACCACAATTAAAATAAAAATATATGGGGGCGCCTGGGTGGCTCTGTGGGTTAAGCCTCTGCCTTCAGCTCAGGTCATGATCTCAGGGTCCTGGGATCGAGTCCCGCATCAGGCTCCCTGCTCAGCAAGCAGCCTGCTCCCCCCTCTTTCTCTGCCTGCCTCTCTGCCTGCTTGTGATCTCGACCTGTCAAATAAATAAATAAAATCTTAAAAAAAAAATATGTGAAGAGAATAAATAGATGATGAAATAGATTTAGTTTTCATGACTACTCACTTAGGCAGGACAAAGCAACCACTGACCATTAACCAAGAATAGAAATAAAGAAGTTATGAGCAGAGTCAGAGTGATGTTCCTACATAAAATGACACAGAGAGGGGCGCCTGGGTGGCTCAGTGGGTTAAAGCCTCTGCCTTCAGCTCAAGTCATGATCCTAGGGTCCTGGGATTGAGCCCGGCATCTGGCTCTCTGCTTGGTGGGAAGCCTGTTTTCCCTTCTCTCTCTACCGGCCTCTCTGCCTACTTGTAATGTCTCACTGTCAGATAAATAAATAAAATCTTAAAAAAAAAGATTTCTTCCACATAACTGGAAGTCTTAACCATGACTGTAAAATCATAGAGCACAAACATTTCAAATCATGGTCTGTATTGTAGGGCAGGAACTTTTCACAGTAAAGGCAACAGTTTGAAATAAAAACTTTTTTTTTTTTTAAAGATTTTATTTATTTATTTGACAGAGAGAGAGATCACAAGTAGGCAGAGAGGCAGTCAGAGAGAGAGGAAGAAGCAGGCTCCTTGCTGAGCAGAGAGCCCGATGCGGGGCTCGATCCCAGGACCCCAGGATCATGACCTGAGCCAAAGGCAGAAGCTTTAACCCACTGAGCCACCCAGGAGCCCTGAAATAAAAACTTTTGACCAAGCATTTAAAAGACACTGGAGAGTGGGGTGCCTGGGTGGCTCAGTCGTTAAGCATCTGTGATTGGCTCAGGTCATGATCCCAGGGTTCTGGGATTGAGCCCCACGTCTGACTCCCTGCTCAGCGGGAAGCCTGCTTCTCCCTCTCCCACTCCCCCTGCTTGTGTTCCCTCTTTCCCTGTGTCTTTCTGTGTCAAATAAATAAATAAGAAATCTTAGAAAATAGTAAAAAGAAATAAAAGACATTGGAGAAATTTATCATAGTATTATTATAGCATTCCCATTCTTACACAATAATAAGATTTTTAAGCCATTCTGTAGAAGAATTAAAAAAAAAACCCACAAACAAACAAAAAACTCTTCATTTGTAAATAAAGGAAGAAATGAAAGTTGTAAAAATGTTGAGCATCACTAATACATAAAATAAACATCTGGGATTAAGTTATATCATGACTCAGTTACATGTTGAGAGACATGTATGAAAAACTTATTAACTTTTTACTAAAGTAAATTTAAATTTGTAAGCTAGATATTTTAATAAATACAGGTACCTACTATTACTTGCTACATAATATGTGCAAATTCAAGCATTTCCTATCAAAACTTTTCAATCTAAAAGGACACCTAAGTTTGACATATATCCAATCAGAAAATGAAAACATATGGGACTCAGGCTCAGTTCCCTTTGTATTAAACAACACAGAATTATTATTTTTTAAAAGATTTTATTTATTTGAGAGAGAGTGAGCGAGCACAAGCAGCCTTCGGCTCAGGTCATGATCCCAGGGTCCTGGGATTGAGCCCCGCATCGGGCTCTCTGCTCAGCAGGGAGCCTGCTTCCCCTCTCTCTCTGCCTGCCTCTCTGCCTGTGATCTCTGTCAAATAAATAAATAAAATCTTAAAAAAAAAAAACAACAACAACAACCAAAAAAACCCCAGAAAACATGTGATGTCTGTTTCCAGTGTTCTGGCATTTTTGCACCAAACCCCAATACACCCAGTATTCCCCTCACACACTTTGGACATGAGGCATAAATAGAACTTAGAAACAGCTTCTCAGACAGAGCCTCAGAAATAGGCACAGATTTCCCTGGGGCCCCAAGAACAAGGGAAAAGCACAGAGATCACTGTGACCCTCACAGACCAAGGGGAGGCCCTGAGCCCTCCCTGTGGATCTGATGGACCATCACTAGAGCTAAAGGAAGATCCTTAGAGAATGGAAGAGCAAGAGATAATGTTGGATAGCACATGTCCCTCTGTGATAGCAAAAGAAAGAAACCTAGACTTCTCAATCTTGTTTCCATTCAACGAGAACAAATCACACGTAAAGGTCCAGCTTTCTCCTTGAACTTCAGACCTCGCCTCCATTATCTGCTTCATTCATTCCCACCTACCTGGGTGTGTGGCTATGCTCTCCTTTCTCTTCACTTCCCAGGGCTCCTTCTTTTGCTCCAAAAAGGTGACCAAGTCTGGCTTTGACACAAGACCAATTATTTAAAAGAAGAAGAAGAAGAAGAAGAAGAAGAAGAATATGAGTATTGCTGGAGATTCTAATTTTTTAAAAGATTTTGTTTATTCATTTGTAGAGATCACAAGTAGGCAGAGAAGCAGGTGGAAAGAGGAGGAAGCAGGCTCCCCGCTGAGCAGAGAGCCTGATGCGGGGCTTGATCCCAGGATCCTGAGATCATGACCTGAGCCGAAGGCAGAGGCTTTAACCCACTGAGCCACCCAGGCACCCAGATTCTAATTTTCAATCCAGTTTTGCACTCAGTAGAGAAAAGAGGACATTGTGGTATTCTGGAAAATGATTTCCCAAACTCTGTTGCACAACAGCTCCTTTAGAACTCAAAGGAGAGTTTTCTAATCTTCAGATTTTTTTTTTAAGATTTTATTTATTTATTTGACAGAGATCACAAGTAGGCAGAGAGGCAAACAGAGAGAGAGAGAGAGAGAGAGAGAGAGAGAGAGGAGGAATCAGGCTCCCCGCTGAGCAGAGAGCCCGATGCGGGACTCCCAGGACCCTGAGATCATGACCCAAGCTGAAAGCAGAGGCTTAACCCACTGAGCCACCCAGGCGCCCCTAATATTCAGATCTTAAGCCAAGTATTACTGATACAATAACAAGGGACTGAAATTAGAATTTAGGATGTGGGCAATACCATTTAATGTCACTCAATGTTTAGAACTATCACTCATCTACAGTAATGATGATGGTATCTTAAGGAAGGGGAAGCTAAAACTGAAAATGAAGCCTCATGAACAGTTTTAGCTCAACGCCTACAGAGCCCAACTTCTTTCCCTTACGGCAGGGATCTGAATTGTACGCATGCAGCAAAGAATCTCCCAAGAGACCTCCTTCCAGGAAGGAACAAAACCCGGAGTGTGGGTTTGGAACCGTGTCCCATGAAGTGAATGAGGCTAAAACTGTCACTGGTAACTCACCACCCAAGAAGGAGCGTGGATTTCATTGCTACAACACGGGACACGTTTAGGCTTGTTTCCTAAGCACACATGTGTTTGTGCCTCCCTTATTCCCATCACTACGAATGATGACAAAACTTCCCTTCCAGATTTTCATCCTAACCCTAAATAAAAGGAAGTCATACACCCCTGCCTGCTCTTGGATCACAGCTTTGGAAGTTATTCCCCTGATTTCTTTATTTGCTGCATATTCCGTTTCCTTTGAGTGAGAACTACACCTTGTGGAGCCTCTACCTGTAACTCATCATAGAGTGAACTCATGTTAGTTCAGCGACAGGACCTTATCCTTGCCCAAGAAGAGGAGGTGTCCGTAGTTCTCCAACATCACATCCCTGTACAGTTCCCGCTGCGTGTGGGTCAGGCGTCCCCACTCCTCCTGAGAGAATTCTATGGCCACATCCCTGAATGTCAGCAGTCCCTGCAGTAAATACCACAGTCAAGTGGCCACCGGCAGACCTCAAAATTTTACCCAAGGTGTAAAGAAGGAGTTAGGACAAATGGTTCTGGCTGAGGTGAGTTTCCTGCTTTATCTAGTAAGATAATTTTTAACACAGGAATCTGCTTCTATTTATTCTCTAAAGCCGAGGTAACGAGGTGGCGTATGAACCACAGAAACACTTTAAATACTCTGTATTTCTTCAAAAGAAATTGGAAAATGAAGGATTCAATGGAGGCATACACATGTTTGAGTACTGTATTTGTGTCACACAGTATAAGTTGTGTATATTTCTTTCTTTTTTTAAGATTTTATTTATTTGGGCACCTGGGTGACTCAGTTATTAAGCATCTGCCTTTGGCTTAGATCATGATTCCAGGGTCCTGGGATAGAGCCAGGCATCAGGCTCCCTGCTCAGTGGGAAGCCTGCTTCTCCCTCTCCCACTCCCCCACTTATGTTCCCTCTCTCGCTGTGTCTGTCAAATAAATAAATAAAATCTTAAAAAAAAAAAAAGAACAAAAAAACCCTAGTGGATTTATAGATCTTTCAAACCCCATAAATAGAGCACCTTGGGTGCCTGGGTGGCTCAGTGGGTTAAAGCTTCTGCCTTCGGCTCAGGTCATGATCCCAAGGTCCTGGGATCAAGCCGCACATTGGGCTCTCTGCTCAGTGGGGATCCTGCTTCCCCCCTTCTCTCTGACTGTCTCTCTGCCTACTTGTGATCTCTGTCTGTTAAATAAATAGATAAAATCTTTTAAAAAATTTAAAAAATAAATAGAGCATCTTTTTTTTTCTTTCTTTCTTTCTAGAGACGAGGGCTCTGATTCTTTTTCCAGACCTTTCTTAGCTATTCTGGGCTACATATCCATTTTGCTTATTTGTACATTTTCCTAATCCTAGTGTACTGCTGATAAAGCATTCAGATGGGACCCACATATGAACTGTTTTCCTTGACTGATATCCCAGAAGCTGAGCCCTTCCACTATAGAAATCGTGGATTTAATGCCTTCTCCTGTAAATCTGTCAAAAAGAACATTTCTTGGGGCACCTGGGTGGCTCAGTTGGTTAAGCAACTGCCTTTGACTCGAGTCATAATCCCAGGATCCTGGAATTGTACCCTGCATCAGGCTTCTGCTCAGTGGGGAGCCTGCTTCTCCCTCTGCCAACTGCTCTCTCTGCTTGTGCTCTTTGTCAAATGAATAAATAAAATCTTTAAAAAAAACAGAGAAAGAGAGAGAGGGGACACTTCTCAAAGTTTCAGGACAGTAATTCAAAGTGACAAATGTTCATGTCTATTTGGAAACTAGGTTGGAGAAAACGAAGAGAACTTCTGGAATATAGCAAAGAAGTATTCTAAAGAGCTAAACTTCAGTATCATTTAAAAAAAATAGTTTGAGAAAGAGAGAGAGAGAGTGCATGAGCAGGGGAGGGGGAGGGAGAAGCAGACTCCCCTTGAGCAAGAGTCTGATGTGGGGCTCCATTCCAGGACCCTGAGATCATGACCTGAGCCCAAGACAGATGCTTAATCAGCTGAACCAACCAGGTGCCCTCTTTTTTTTTTTTTTAAGATTTTATTTATTTATCAGAGAGAGAGAGGGAGAGAGAGCGAGCACAGGCAGACTGGCAGGCAGAGGGAGAAGCAGGCTCCCTGCCGAGCAAGGAGCCCGATGTGGGACTCGATCCCAGGACACTGGGATCATGACCTGAGCCGAAGGCAGCTGCTTAACCAACTGAGCCACGCAGGCGTCCCCAACCAGGTGCCCTCTCAAAAGATTTTTAAGAGTAGGTGAAAACACTCATAAGACAGGAATAGCAGAACTAGAGAAATAAACCTTTGCAATTTTTAAATGCATGGAATTTCAGGAGGAAAAGATGACACTGTTTCTAACCAGGGATACAAGGCTTACCTGAGAACCGGCCATTTCATCCTCTTCCTCCTTGTTCTCTAGCTTTCCTTCTCGGGAGACCCTTGTGGTGAAATCACAGCTGGATCGATCATAAGCATTTGCCTTTAACAAAGACTCTCTTCACCTGTTACCTACTCCTCTCCAGGCAGGGCAATGAAATACAAAAAAAGTCCTACATCCTATTCTTTTGTGTGTCAGGAGCTATTCAAAGACCCTGAGCTTCTCCAAGAAGACCAATCCCTCCGTTTCTCCTTCCCTGTTGTCAGGGAGCCTCCCCGCCAACAGACACCCACACATTCTACTACAGCATAAGAACTCTATGCTGCATGGTCCTGACCCTTCTAGATTCATGTAGGGGAGACCCTGTTACCTCTCCTTGGACCACAGCCAGCATTCAATTCTAATAAGTTGCTGAGGGGCTTTCGTGCTTAACTATGGCACTTAGAATCACCTGAAACACATGATTAAAAGAACACTGTTGTTCTTACTGAGACCTATTGACAAAATCTGTGGTGGAGGGCACAAGTGATAAAATTAGAAACTTCACATGTTATTCTAATGGACAGCCTGGGCTCAGAACCACTTAACTAAGGATTCTTGAGCTTTAATGTGCATAGAAATTATTACTTGTTCCAGACCTCCCCTGAAGAGACGGTGATGCTTCAGGATTGGAGAGTGGGTCCATGAACTGGGACCATAGAAGCTCCCACCTAGTCCTGATATAGGACCACATGGACCCAGAATCAGTATGACTAAGCTAGCAAAAAATGACACAGCACACCTAAACTGCATATACGCACCATCGTGTCTCAACATAAATTCTCTTGGTTCCCAGAGAAGACCACCAATCACCATCGTGAAACATCACAGTCTTTGCTGATCCTCTGAAGTTTACAGAATGGTAGAGAAGGTAGTGATATCTTGTTACTCAAACCCAAGTTCAGGGGCTCCATGCTTAAAAGCCAATACTTGAGAGACAAGTGTTGGTAATGCTAACCTTAAAAATAGACAGTGCTAATTATTTTACCAGCAAAAGATTGGTTTATTCAGGAATAAAAAAGAATTGCAATCCAGGAAAAACAACTTGTAGTAAAACTGTAGGCACCCCTGGGGAACAAAAAAGAACAAATTATTTTAAAAAGGATAAAAAGTATATGTTGGGAAGTTGTGATGAACTAAAAGTCTTTTGGAGTAACTTGAACTTCAACGTGTGGTAGCTTCTCATTGGATCTTTTGCCCAGGGTGAGTGTCTCTTTTAGTAACTAGGGACAAGCTTTAGTCCATGTAAGGCCAAGTCCATCTCTTATTTTTTCTTAAGATTTTATTTCAAGCAATCTCTTCACCATATGTGGAGCTCAAACTTACAACCCTGAGATGAAGAGTTGCACGCTTCACTGGTTCAGTCTACCAGGAGTCCCAGGTCCATCTCTTATTAATGGGTCTGCAATTGACTAGGACGGCATCAAAACGTCCAGACTCCATGTAAGTGAGGTTTCCCGTTACTAAGTCTCACATTCCACCCTCTTGATCAGATCTTTTTTTGAAGGCATCACTGATCAACAGTCAAGTTCTTTATATTTAATTTAGTGGTTTTGTCTCTCAGTGCCGGGAGCGACCGTGCCTGTTTGTCATGTCTCATGTCAGAGCGAAAGTACATAGCAGTTCAAAATTCAAATTCAGTTAAGCTACATTTAAAAGACAGGGAAGTTTAGAAGGGAAAAACCCTCAGGTACTTTCCATCTGAAGTTTATATCTTCTCACTATTGTGAGTGTTGGGCCAGCATCATCTTATTGGACACGTCCTTTCTGCAAAAGATTGATAAATGACAAATACAACATGATAATTCCAAACTGTACGTTGGTTCTCTAAGTCTGAAAGCAGCTAACTGAAAATATTCATTGTCACTTATCTGGACTTAGGGAAGAAATGTTTCTCTCTGTGAAGGCAAACCCAATATGCCTCCTGGAAGTCACCTCTTAAGTTGACTAGGAGGCAAACATGTGTAACACTATGAGAGGGCACTGAATCAAGTAACCTAGCGTATTTTGCAACATAGCATACATGTGTAAACATGAAGCAATAGTTGATGACATCTTTGCAAGAAGTGCAAAGCTTCAAAGATATTTAAGAAATGTATTGTGATCTCAAAATAATTGTTGAGAAACATACGTGCTATCCATAATATTCTAAAAAGCGTTAAATTCAGAAACCATGCATTTGGATAAAACTCCAGAGTTGGTAATAGTTTGATAAAGAAAATCTCTGTGAAGTCTAGAACATCTAAACCTTCAGAAATGTGGACAGGATCATAATGTGACTCTTTCTGGAAAGGTCATAACCAAAAGAGGTTTCAAGAGGTTTTGTTAAGAGATTGGGAAGTGCAGATAAAGGGCGTTTTCTTTCCACAAAAGAGATAAAAGAAGCAACAGTGAGAAAAGGTCTACAGGTCTGGTCTGGAAATCTTGGGAAAGCTGTGTCCCCAGATGTTATCTGTTTCAATTCTGGGAAGTCTTTGCCTTCAGAGCACCAGATGGTGTGCAGGTCCAGTCAGGATTTGGCCCTTTTTACATGTGTCATGTGATCCAAGAGTCTATTTCCTGGAGTTTGATAGCACAAGATTGTTAAAGAGGACCCCGTGACTATTTCCTCAGGGATCTTAACTAAGAGGCAGTGGCAGGAATGGCCCTGAGGCCAGGGGGATGTTGCCAAGCCATATGGTCCAGTTAACCGCTATAATACCCTATGGGGAAATGGTCTCCATGTTTTTGGTTGAGCACTCTGAGCGCATTCCTTTCCCGATCATGTACAATGAGAAAAAAGGAAGTCGATTATTAGAGTGTCTGAGGGTAGGGGAATTTTTTAGATTTCCTTTTAAAGTCTCAAGACTAAGTCAATCTCTTCTTTTGAAACCCAGCCCCATGCCCAAGATAAAAACACAGCGTGCTGTGCCATGCCGCCAGGGCAGACAGCAGGGACGGAGACCGGGTGAAGGCAGGGATCTGGCGGAAGCCTTGGACACAGAGGGGAGATTGTTTGCTCCTCTGTGAGGGCTTCCTGAGCGGTGGCAGGGGCAAACTCCCCTCCCTGGGAAGAGAGTGAGCCAATGCCATTTTCATCCCTCCCATCCACAGGGATGGACTTTAATAAGCACGCATTGTGCACAGGGCAGTGCCCCCTGCAGGTGCCTTTATAAAATAGGGCAAGTATGATAGACAGCCAGAGCAACAACAGGTCAGTCTCCTAGAATACCAGGACAAACCCCCACAGGCACCAGGAATACTGATCATAGAGTCCTGCAAAGTTTCGACTCTAGTCAAGGGACAGGCACAGGACAGGCACAGGCTTCTCTAACATACAAAACACAGAGACCTAGAAAAAATGCCAAGACAGAGAAATTCATTCCAAAAGAAGCAAGAAGAAGAGATCATGGCCAGGGAGCTAATCAAAAGCAGATGTAGGTAATATGACTGAACAAGAATTTAAAACAACAATCATAAAGATACTAGCTGGGCTTGAGAAAAACACAAAAGAAACCAGAGAGACCCTTACTGCAGAGATAAAACACCTAGAATCTAGTCAGGCCAAAAAAAACACAAAAACCTATAACAGAGATGTAAAACCAAACGGATGTAATGGCCACAGGATGGAAGAAGCAGAGGAATGAATAAGTGATACGGAAAATAAAATTATTATGGAAAACAATGAGGCTGAAAAGAACAGGAAATGAAAAATGTTAGATCATGAATATAGACTTAGGAAACTCAGCAACTCCATAAAGCATAATAACATTTGTATCATAGGAGTCCCAGAAGAAGAGAGGGGAAATGGGGCTATCCTCAAAACCCCACAGTCAGGTAAATAATAAGCAAATATAATACCTTATATTGAAAGATACACATTCAAAGATATTTTGAGTATCTTTGCATTCTTTTAGGAAAAACTATTTTATTACTGATTGGACTTTATCTACTGGTACCATTAGTACAACATAATTTTATGGATAATTATGTAACAATTATAAAAGTATTCATTGTATAGTGATAATTTATTATTTATTACTACAATAGATTATCTAATTCACAATTTCACCTGCAATGTGACTGGCTCGTAATTGTGCATGACACTCTGTGAGGCATGAAAATATAAATGACTGACATGGAGGAAAACAGACTACATTTTCTCATGAGATGAGGAAGTTCTGTGACTCCTCCAGGATACAGATAAGGACCTGGATACACAGTGGTCATCACTTAAAAGAATAAAGGGACTGGCAGGTGGAAAACATGCACTGATTCAGGCTGAGTTGTTCACTTCCTTCCCCATAGTCTAATGAAAAAGAGAAAAAAAAAATTACTATGACGGCAGAAACGGTATAACAAGTTACAAAAGTACTCTTGAGGACAAGAAAGCTTGGGGTCGTAGCTGTCCTCTCAGGGGAGGATCTAGGTGTGATATTGCTCCTGTGAAGTTGTTGGCTCCTAGACTTGTGTTTACACAGAATGACAGCCTTAATGAGTCCTACTAAACACAAAACATCTGCGATACATCTGGATGATGCATAGAGTAAGTCTATGTAAGCCTCACAAGGTATAGCAGTGTTTATGATGTATGTGTCATTCTTCCTGTCACACATATAAATACAAAGTGTGGTATTTACAAGCTCACATAGGATCTGGCAGAGGACACTGGAGGGGCCAGTGGAACATGGGACTGTAACTTAATGCTTTGCCCACCTGGAGATCCTGGGACTGATGGTGATGGCTTGGAAGACAGTCAAGGGGCCATTGTTGCCAATGGACACACCTCTGGACAGTCTGTGAGCCTAGAAAATAAGTATCTATCCAAAATCATGGAGAGAATGTTTCCAACCAAAGGACTGCCAAGATGTCTGAGATTCCACTAGAAGGAACGATCAAAACTTTGCTACATTTAGGTGACTGAGGGAAAAAACCTTTCAAACTGCCCTGATTCCCCTGTAGTACGGGAATGATGGCATAAGAGGTAGAACTCTGGG